TCCAGGTACATCGAGAGGGCGAGGCCGATCACGTCGAACCCTGGGCCTATTGTCGACAAGGGTGGACATCAGGACCGGTTCAGGCTTAAGTTCCAGTTGGGCAAGAGCAAGCCTTGCTGTCGACTTACCGATATTGGCCGATGAGCATGGCACCTCTAGTCACGTTAGTCCCTCAGTAAGGTGTTGATAGACAGGACAACATACTTATGATCCACATCTTGAGCAGGCGGGAAGGTCAAGGACGGAGAGGGTTCCTGATATTGGGCGCGAGCAGATGTTATCACGGTGGTTGCTTGTGTGATTTTCGTGTCTCTGAATTGTCCTCACTCCATGACCATGACCATCGGCCGACTAGACACACGACCTTTGGCTCTACCAAGGGTTACAATGACTCCCATTAACGGTGATTTTTGGGAGAGAGAACTTTCACTGGCTCTTGAAGCCCAGCACAGTCACTTCATGGCCAGGCTGACCAATCAGTGAGCAGGGCGCAAGCGAAAATCGGTGGGCGGGACGCGCGAGGGAATTTTTCCGGTTTCAGCTTGGCGTCAGAGGTTTGTATATTTTTCTTCGGCGAGAAATTTTGGACGGCCTGGCACAGGCAGCCCGGAGGACTCTGTAATAAGTACTGTAAGTGAGTGGAGCGATCCATCCTTGGGCGGCCTCAGAGTCATCGTTCATTCTTCCCTCACCTCAAAATGACAGAGCGGCTACGCATCCTCGTCATCGGCGCGGGCGGACGCGAACACGCTATTGCGTGGAGGCTGGCCAAGTCGCCGTCCGTCGATGTGGTTCATGTCGCACCTGGTAATGGCGGCACAGAGTCCTCTGCGGACAACATCGTCAATGTCAATATACCCGTCAACGATTTCACAGAGTTGGTGGCACACTCGCGGAAACATGGCTTGAACCTAGTGGTTGTAGGGCCGGAAGCGCCCCTCGTGGCAGGCGTAAAAGAATTCTTCAGTGCCGCAAATATTCGGTGCTTCGGGCCCTCGAAGAAAGCTGCACGAATGGAAGGATCCAAGGCCTTCTCCAAAGACTTTATGCAACGGCATGGGATCCCTACGGCGGCCTTTAGAAGCTTCTGCGATTACGAAAGTGCACGGGAGTATCTAGATTCCGTCCACCATGATGTCGTGATCAAGGCGGACGGGCTTGCAGCTGGCAAGGGAGTCATCATCCCCACAACCAAACAAGAAGCACACGATGCACTCAAGCAGATTATGGTCGCGCGCGAGTTTGGATCAGCAGGCTCCCAGGTCGTCATTGAGGAGTTCTTGGAAGGTGAGGAGTTGAGCGTGCTTTCCTTCAGCGACGGCTACACCATTCGGTCCTTACCACCCGCCCAAGATCACAAGAGAGTCTTTGATGGTGATGAAGGTCCGAATACGGGAGGCATGGGCTGCTACGCACCCACTCGAATCGCCTCGAAGGAGCTGATTGCACAAGTCGACCGGGACATCGTACAGCCGACCATCGACGGCATGAGACGAGAGAAAATGCCCTTTGTTGGCATGCTCTTCACCGGCTTGATGATTACCAAGAATGGGCCGAAAGTTCTGGAGTACAATGTCAGGGGAGGAGATCCGGAAACGCAGACCCTGCTTCCACTTCTCAGCGACGACACCGATCTTGCCCAGGTCATGCTGGCATGCACTGAGCATTGGCTGGACGGCGTCGACCTCGAAATCGAACCCAAATTCTCTGCCACCGTGGTTGCATGCTCCGAAGGCTATCCTGGTGCCTATGCCAAAAATCGACCCATTACCATACAGCAGCAGCAGCTTCCACCAAAGACCCACATTTTCCATGCCGGTACAATCAGGGAAGGAAAGCAAGTCATCTCGATGGGTGGGCGTGTAATCTGTGCCACGGCAACGGCAGACACGTTGGAAGAGGCCGTCGCTCTGGCATATGGTGGGATGGATACCATCAAGTTCCAGGGCATGCATTTCAGGAAGGATATCGCTCACCGGGCCTTCAAACGCAAGGCCGATACCCTGGGGCCCGAGCAGAATGGGATGACCTACGCCTCGGCGGGAGTGTCCATCGACGCGGGCAACGACCTGGTCAAGAGGATCAAACCCTGGGTGAAGAAGACCGCACGGCCCGGTGCTGATGCTGATATAGGCGGCTTCGGCGGTGCCTTTGACCTTGCTCAGGCAGGTTATCACAAGGATTCTCCAATCTTGATCAGCGCAACCGACGGAGTCGGCTCGAAACTCAAAATCGCCCATGCTATGAATATCCACGACACTGTTGGCATTGACCTGGTTGCCATGAATGTGAATGATCTCGTCGTCCAAGGGGCCCGACCACACATCTTCCTGGACTACTTCGGCTGCAGTATTCTCGATGTGGACACCGCGAGCGCCTTTATCCGAGGCGTTTGTGATGGCTGCCAGATTGCAGACTGCACTCTGGTTGGTGGAGAGACTTCAGAGATGCCTGGCGTCTACAGCGGCACAGAATACGACGCTGTCGGGACGGCTGTTGGTGCTGTTGACAAGGCAGCTGGCCAGAAAATCTTGCCGGACATGGAGAGTATGGTCGAAGGCGACGTCCTTCTGGGCCTGGCGTCGAGCGGAGTGCACTCGAATGGCTTCTCCCTGGTCCGACGAATCATTGAGAAGATGCATCTTACCTTCTCAGATGCTGCCCCGTGGGATGTGGAGACCACCATCGGCGGCTCCCTACTCATCCCGACGCGCATCTATGTCGTTCCGCTGTTGAAAGCAGTGGATCGAGACCTGATCAAAGGAATGGCGCATATTACAGGCGGTGGAGTGCTGGAGAACGTACCAAGAATGCTTCCCAAGCGCCTTGCCGCCGAGATCGATGTGTCCGCGTGGGATCGACCCCCTGTGTTCGAATGGCTTCAAAAGGCTGGAAATGTCAGCAACGAAGAGATGAGTCGAACGTTCAACAACGGAATAGGCATGGTTCTCGTCGTGTCGACCGTTGCTGCAGGAGAGGTGAAGAGGATTCTCGAAGAAAATGGGGAGACAGTCTTCAGGATCGGCAAGCTGGTCGACCGGGAGAATGACGGTTGTGTCCTCAAGAATCTCAGCAGCTGGAGTGGATTCTGAACAGAAAAGGTCCGTGCGTGCATTGGCTGGTTGCTTTCCAAGCAGAAAAGGAGAGCATAATAGCCACGCGCGCAACCCTGGATGCCACATGGACGCTACATCCGCTGTAGAATGTGAAATCACGACTTGCTGCACGGTTGAGACTGAAACGAACCCAGTGGACCGAAGACCGTCGGAACAAGCGCATGTGCGTTAATTTTGTGCTTGTGGTTATCTCAGCCCGGGGGTAGCAATGCTAACCCTCCGCATCATCTCATGCTTTGGAAATACTCGACATGATTTTCCCCTGCGTCTTTTGCGCTGCGACGCTGCGAAGTGTTTTGAGTCAGCTGCGAGTTGCGGAGCTTCGGACGCTGTTGTCCTCCGCACCCTCCGCACCCTCTGCAGTCCAGCTTCAGCCTTGTGCGCGGCCTCTAGCAATGAGAGTGACTAACTAATGTAAATGTAGGAGAGCACGGAGTAGTGAAGAACCATCATGCCCGCTGGTGTCCGTGCGTAGGAAGTATAAAGCTCAATGATGTCTGGCTTCTTCAGCATGAACCCTGCATCTTCGACACCCCAGCCATCTGCACACACAGACCCTTCCAGCACGAACAAATATACAGATCTCCAAGCTCGATAATAGCACGACAAAACATAACGCCATGCCCTCCAACACGACAGTCGTCATTGGCGCCAGCCGGGGGATTGGCCTGGAACTAGCAAAATTCCTCGCTCAATACCCTGACGACCGCGTCATTGCAACCATGCGGAAGCCGTTCAATTTCGACCAAGCCAACATTGACGTTCTCGAGCTCGACCAGACCAACCAACGATCCGTCGACATTGCGGCTAAGAAGGTCGCAGAAGCCGACACCTTGATCGTCAACGGCGCCATCGGGGAGGAGGAACTCCTCACGCAGATCTCCTCGGACAGGCTCCTCCACTACCTCGACACCAATGTCGTTGGGCCCCATCGAGTCATCAACGCTTTCCTGCCTGCGCTGCGAGCTCGCAAGACCCGCAAGATCATCTACATCTCTTCCACGGCAGCTTCGCTCACCGGACAAGTGGGCGAAAAATGGAGCCTTCGTGGACCGTACGCGACCTCCAAGGCTGCCGGAAACATGTTGACCATCCAGTTCCACAATGAGCTTCATGGGGAGGGATTCACCGTTGTGGCCATCCACCCTGGCTGGGTCGCCACGGATATGGGGAATATTGCTGGCCCAGGCGCAATGCCAGCGACTGAATCTGCGCAGAAAATCATGACGATCGTCGACGGTCTTGAGAAGGCGGATGGCGCTAAGTTCTTCAACATAGATGGCACGATTCTGCCGTGGTGAGGATAGGGGATTTACCCGCGGGCCAAACGTTGTGCAGAGTTAGCATGGGGACGATAGAAATAAATGGGCGCTACATCACAAACTAATCCATATACACTCTGGCCTTTCGTTCATGTTCTGTGCAGCCGCTGCAAGATACATCCACAGTATTCTGTACCACATAGAAATGTAAGAAATCAGGAGTTCAGGAACGAGTACTAAGTAAGCGGTATTCTCTCGGCGTCGGAGCCACGAATGCGCGACGCGACGAGGCTGAGGCACGGCTGAGCTAAACCAAATTTGGTCGAGATTTCGTGAGTGGGTCTTAGAAAAAGTTCCCAGTCTGCGGCGAGGCGCTGCACATTGAACTTTCTTGGGGAGTATAGCGTTCCTATTTATCAGCATTTTCTGCTGGGATTCATTTGGCATCAGTCCCCTCGTCCATCTCTCCGTTTCCTTCTACTGAGTGACTCAAGCCTCCGCCGCGGAAGTGAACTATTCCACGGATCAGAATAGTTCACTCTTGCGGACTCAGTCGACATCCATCCTCACATGCTGCCTCGTTCGCTGAGGCACAGCATATGTCCACCATGTCGAAACGATCATGGCACTTGGACGGGCGCTCTTGTAGCCATCACCGTCTTGCACACCTGCAGTAACATTCGGCATGTTCGAACGCGCGCTCGACGGCCGCCGGTCCGCGATTCTCGGAGGTCCCTTGACGAGAAACGTGGCGAGCGGGTAAAAGGGCTTGCGAGCAAGACACCGACGAAAGAGAAAGATGGCTCTGAAAACCCCGCAAAGGTCGACACGAAGGAAGGGCAAGCTCGAAAAAAGTTCGGCCTGCGTGGGAATGTGAAGCATGAGCTCGGCGTTCTGGAAGATTTCCGGTTATTAATGCGCGAGACTGGCATGAAAGCGGAAGAGAAAGCCTTGCCTACCACTGAACCAATGACCGTGGACAAAGTGATAGCGCTCATGGACGTCAAACCCAAGCAAAGAGGCTATCACCGCGTTGCGTCGCTGCTGAAGTCGGTGTACAGCGGACGAGACTATAAAGAGGTGGACCGTGATTTGAAGACGGTTACGCCTCTCAAACGCGGGAAGCACCCTCGGTCAGAGATCCTGGAGGAAATCTTGTCCAGGTTGGGCTTTCTGAACCAGTCAAAATCCGTACGGGCCATTTCGGCCACGTCTGATCGAAAGACCTCTTCTTCGGCAGGAAAGAAAAGTGCAACCAAAAAGAAACCGTCATTATTAAAGATATCAAAGGTGTCATCTGCGGGGCCGCCAGTCCCAGAACAACAATCCATCACGCTCGAGACACCACCGAATTTCTTAGATCTCAGGCCACAGTCGCTGCTCGTGGCAGATGGAGCAGAACAGGACGATGTCCGCCATCAGACACCCGAGCGTTTCGTGATAAGGCGTTACCGAGCCCTCAAAACGAGTAAGAGTCCACGTTTGGCCAAGCAAGATAGAATTGCCGATATGAGAGGAGGCCCGGTACAGGTTGCCAGTGCAGACAAATTTCCGCTGATACCATTTCCAATGGAGACATCCGAAGTGCCGAGACTCAGTCACGACTTGTCGCGTGTTCTCTTCAATCCTGGTGTTTATCAATTGCAGGATCCACGATCCAGGGTATGGAACTTCGATCCCTATCTCGGCAATCTGATGCCTGTGTCCGAGTTCAATTACGACGCACTGAACAGGTATATCACTTCGTCTGAGGACGTCAATCTTCGAACCGTCGCCCAGGCAAAGGACAAGCGGTACATCGGCTCAACTTCGAGCATGTCGGGCGTTCTCGCCCATTTCCATTTCCTCCTCTCCGGGTTCCGTGACTTGAACCTGGACCATCTGAGCCGGGGGTTTAAAGACGAGGGTCAAGTCAACTTCACCAGGATTCAGAAAGGACCCACGGCAATCTTTCTCCGCTACAAGGACGGGGTATATGCAGTAGACGCGGACAAGGAGTTCGACTCCGCCAATATTCTGATGAGTCTTGGCCGCTCCATGGAGAAACTCCTCACATCTGACAAGGAGGAATTTGAGAGGTACCGAAGGACTGAAGATGCCACCAAGGACGCACAAATGAAATCAAGTCATCCCGAGGCATACCACTACTCGGGCCTTGGCCAGTTCTTGCTACGATCACAACTTGACGCCCACGACCCCCGGTTGCCCGGCACAGGCATGTTTGACCTCAAAACACGAGCTGTCGCGGCCGTGCGAATGATGGTCCATGACCATGAAAAGGGCGCGGGCTATCAGATCAAGGAGAGATTCGGCACGTGGGAATCTTATGAACGAGAATACTTCGACATGATGCGATCGGCCTTTCTCAAATACTCTCTCCAGGTCCGGATGGGCCGCATGGACGGCATCTTCGTTGCATATCACAACACCGAACGTCTGTTTGGCTTTCAGTATGTACCGCTTCCGGAGCTGGATTTCGCTCTTCATGGCCAAGAGGACAGAACACTGGGGGACCAGGAGTTCTCCCTAAGCATACAGCTCTTGGACTATATCTTCAATGAAGCCACGATGCAGCATCCGGGTCAGTCCTTCAGGTTTCACTTCGAGGCAAGAGAAGCGACGGAAGTTTCTCCGCATTACATGTACGTCTTCGCGGAGCCGGTCACCGAGGAAGAGATTGTGGCGATTCAGAGTCTGAAGAAAGACGAAATCCGGGCGTTCGAGGATCGCATATTTAACCCAGGGCGTGCAAAGTCACCCAAACTCGACGAGGATGACGCTGATGAAGCTGAGGATGGGAATGAAAGTGACGAGGTTGACTCGGCTCCATCAGACTCCTCGACCAATACGGGTTTCGCCCAACAATCCAACGCGGCCGATGTTGCTTTCCTCGATGGCGTGTTGGGGTTGAACATCAACGAGGCTATGGCATCGGAACCCAAAGAGGCGCCTGTGCCTGAGTGCACAGAGGAGCATGCAGCAGGAGGCCCGGAAGCCTCCACTACAGACACACAATCGGCATCAGCGTCCAGCAAACCCTTGTTGGCCTGGAGACTCAACATTCGCAACATAGTTAACGGCTTGCCGGTGATGCGGCCCGAAAATTTGAAGGAAAGCGACACGTGGAGTCTGCAGTACACGTTGGTCCCCTTGTCCCCCGGGGAAGCCGAACGGCACTACACGCTGTGCAAGAACCGACGCAAGAACGCGCTGGAAGCTCCGCAAGAGACAGATGCGGCAGCCAATTTCTACCTGAACAGGCTTGTGTCGATGAGCCGGAGTGGTGCGCAATGGCGGCAGCATCTGGACAAGCTGGATGCGGGCAGAGAGCGGATTGTACTTTACGGCGAATGAACGATTGTATTCCCACGATGTATTGTATATTACAACCCCTGTCTGGGTGGCAGCTCGCATAGAAGCCATACAACCGACAGGCACCCGGCAGAAGATCGTTTACTTGGACATGTAATCAGTCTACAGTACATCATGTCGGGCTTGTGTTCAAGCGCAGTGGCACAGCAGGCGAGAAACATGTCTCACAATCAAGTGCTTCGGTGCGACTCATGGAGCGGGAATGATGAGAGGCGTGGTGTATTTGTATCAGTCGTCCGCCCCATCTCTGAGACGTCTCATATCTAGGATTTTAAGAAGTGTACTCGTACCCAGTACGGTCTGTCCGATCACTATCTATGGATCCCAGTCACAGGATCTGGACCAAGAGGCTCGAGGCCGCCGAGACCCAGGTTTGCCGGGGACCTGCGCCGCCTCAATGGCCTCAGTGGCGTGGTCCGGGAATCTCCAAGATCATCCACGCTCCCACGATAGCCTCCCACGCCTGCGACGTGGCTCGCCAATCGCTGCAGCTGGTGCGCCGGCACGCCTGCCGATTGCCCTCGTCGATGGCGTTGCCCTGTTTTCGAGGTCCCTCCCACGTCCTGACCACCCCGGTTGGCGGGTTCGCGCAGCTGCCGATAGCAACCGAGGGGTAGTCCCTGCATGGTTGCAGCGGAACTTCAAGCCTGAGCAGAGTGAAGATGCTGTGAGTGGCCTGCGGAAACTCCGTATCATCGAGAGGACATGCAGAGCGTCGACCACTGCCGGTGCCATGCTTGCTCGTGGATACTTTACCCGTGTCCGCGTCGATCAGTTGGTGAATGAAAAGTCAAGCAGTGCTGAAGCCAACCTTTTACTCGTCCTCCATTACGTCCGACCGCCGATCCACCGCCTGCTCCATTGCTTGACAATTGATACTTGACATGCCAATGCTGACAATTGCCTGCTCCTCCTCATAAAGATCTCTCTGTACCTCCCACTGAGCACCGACTGCGTACAGGCACGGAAAAGCTGACACCTCCATCCCCGACCACCACCTCACGATCACCCTCTGGAGCGGATCTCCGTGCGACCTGTCAAGCCTGCCCCGTTCCCACGGCGCCCTATCAGCTCGCGTCCTCGACCTGGTTACCTCAATATATTGCCAGTTGCGCGCCACCAGGTTCTAGTCACGAAGCACAGTCTCGGAGACGTCTCTTTGTTGCAATCTGCTCTGCTCGACTCTGCTTTCGAAACCACAACCGTTTACGCCCCTAACGTTGTTCCGGGCCATGGGACGGCACCCACCAGTGTCTCGCTGAAGAAAGAGGGAGACTACACAAGACGGCGGGCCGGCGTTGAAGGGAATGCTCGACTCCGTGAACATGTGTACCCCGAGAGAACCCATGAGTCTCTCCTGAGACCCGACAGCCATCAAAACAACCGGGCGGTTCAGTCAGCGTTTGCTTGATGAGAAGGACCTGGCAGATCTTCCCGTTTACATACCTGTCGCCAACATGGCAGACAAACGCAGAAGGAAAAGCCTGAGCATCTTCCGCCAGAAGGCGGACCCCAGTCCTTCAGTACAAATACCTGCCAGCCCGCTGTTCGAGAAACACTCCAGCGAATACCTGCACAGTCCGGTCGAGTCGGATCCGGCCAGCCCCAAAAACCGGCCAAGGACACTGCAGAAGTCAGGTCGCGCCTCCGTATTTGGATCTCTACGCTCCTTGCACTCGCTCGATGAAGACGAAAAGACTGCCTTGACGAGATCGGACTCGAAATCTTCGTCGCTCCAAGAAGAAGTGGACATGAATGTCAAGGGATTGTTGGGCAGCAAAGTCCTCCAGTATGGTGAGGTCCAAGCCGGGAGCAGTAACGTCTTCAGGAAACGAAACCAGTTCATGGTGCTGACCGACACGCATCTCATTCGCTTTCGAAGTCAGGTCAAAGCTGCCGAAATGTTTCCTAGCATTCCCAGCAGTCTCAGTAAAGGCCACGTTCCGAGGTCGTCTTCAGTGAGTTCGTATCAAGAACTCCAATCGTCGGCCTATTCAGACATCACCTCGGGCGTTCCTCTGGAGCAAGTGGTTGCGGTGTTCAAGGTCGACGACGGACGACTCTCTCCCACGGTGGAAGTGGGATACCTGGACGAACGTGCGCGGAGAGCTTCAGCGATACAGTGGCAACTCAACGATTATCGCGAGGCCGAGTTGTGGATGACCGCGATCCGTTCGGCTTCTCAGCAGGCAAGGATGCTCGTCCAGCAATCAATTCAAGACCACACAGTGGAGCACCTTGCACGAGTCCTTGAACGGGAAAGAGACTACGATCCGGAGCACTTCCACGTCTTTAAGGTCGTCCAACGGTCCGTCAACAAGTCTTTAGGAAGGGCATCTGCGGAAGACTTAACAAGGCACGGGTCCGCAACCGCATGTTACCTGGTCATTGGCTTGCACAAAATCCACCTTGTACCTCTGCAGAGATCCTCGACACGATCGTCAAGCACTTCTCTAAGCGAGTTGGATGCCATGACGTCCTACGCCATTGTCACTTTGACATCAATCAAGGTTGTGGCTGGAGAGGATGCCTTTCAATTCTCTGTCAAACCTCCCGTGGGCCAACCATACATGATACACCTGGCCTCATATGCCGCAAGCGATATCGCGCTCCACCTCCGAGCCGCTTCCGAGTATCTGCGACCGGAGTGGGTCAGGCAGCCCTTCTTCTTCGACGTGCCTCCTGAGATTGATGACCAAGCGATTCCGCCGACTTGGCCGAAAGAGGACCATGATTGCTTCGACCGGACGTTGATCGCATATTGTGCAGGCTACGACGTGGACACCTCTCGTATCTGCTACTCTGTGGACTACGAATGCGAGGACGCGCCGTGCTTCCTCTTACTTCCTCCATCGGGCATTGCTTCGTACTCTGCTTTGGAGTTACTCGCCGTATTTCGAGCACTGCGATACAATGAGTCCTTCTCGTCCATTTCGTTCGCGCGAATCAACATAACGCCGCTGCGCCAAATTTACGACGTGTTCTGCTCGGACGTGGACAGCCTCTTCACACGATCTGGGAACCCCATTAACATCGCCGGCCATCAAGATCTGCCCGTTCTATGTCAGGAGATCAGAGCGCTGGCCTTGAAAAGTCGACGGTTGAGGCGGATGGATTTCTCAAACACTATGCCGCACACCGCTCGGGCAGACGGCGAAGAGCCCTTTGATTGTGGCATCCTGGAGGCTCTGGTACCGTTGTGCAAGAGGTCTCTGACCAATGTGGATTGGATCGTGCTTACAGGGTTGCGACTTTCCGACGGGGACTTGAACTACCTCGTGGATGCAGCTTCGGAACGAAAGTGTCATCTTCGAGCGCTGGAAATTGGAGACTGTGGGCTTTCCGTTCACGACATCGATGTGCTCCTGTCGTCCTTGTCTTGTCAGGAAAGCACTGTCGAAGTGATAGACATCTCGGGAGCACAAGGCCGGTTCAGTCCCGAGCTATTTCAGCGTGGTATAGGAGCCTTTACCCGCATTCGGCGCTTGAATCTTACGCGGATTCAAATGACCGCCGGGCCGGAACCTTTGGTTGCTCCCGAAGTGCTGTTGGCCTGGAGACTAGAGGCACTGTATCTGTCACAGACCACTCTCAACGAGCAGTCAGTGGACTCGGTATCAGCTTATCTGGCCACCTCGAAGTCCGACATCCTCCGGGAGTTGCACGTCAACCAATGTGGCTTGACAGGGAATGACCTGGCGACCTTCTTCCGGTCCATGAGTCGGGACGACAAACAGCCGCGGATAATGCACGTCAGTGCCAACGAGAACCGATTGAAGGTGGGCAACACGGTCATGTTCCGGACACTCGGCCACGACTGCGGACCAACATCTCTGAGCATGCGGATGATGGACTTTGAGAAAGAGAGCCATTTCCGCGAACTGATCAACGCTTTGAAAGTCAACAGGACTTTGCGAAGTCTGGATATTTCGCGTGCATCCCTGCCGTACGACGCCAGCATCGAGACTTGCGAGGCTCTGAGGGAGATGTTTGCCACCAACCAGACCTTGGAAGAGCTCGATATCAGCGGGGAACACGCGCATTTGGATGCTACCCGCTTCGGCATCGGCCTCAATATTGCGCTGAGAGGGCTGGAAAAGAACAAGTCCTTGAAACTGTTGCGTATCGAACATCAAGGGCTTGGTCTGCAAGGGGCTAGTACCTTGGCCGAGGTTTTGCAGAAGAACGAGACGCTGCTGGAAATCCATTGCGAGCACAATGACATCAACCTGCAAAGCTTCACCGCGCTTGTAAACGCCCTCGAAAAGAATCACACCTTGCTGTTCATGTCGAGCATGGACCATGACCGGGCGAAGACATTGGAGAAGGTGCGGCGGGAGATCGAAACCGTGGACCGAGGGGACAGTCCGAAAACACCCAAGCATCATGGTGGAGCGCTTAAGAAAGCATTCGCCGGGACATTGAGCGGCAAACCACACGGCAAGGGACACGGCCATCGGCACAGTGGCTCGTTGTCTTCGACGGGCTCGTACACCGATCAGGACATTGCAGCGGTCATGACCACGTTGGAAGAAAAGTGGAATGCGCAAGTTGCGCGGATGCAGAGGTATCTGTTCCGTAATTATTGTCGTGCACAAGGCGTGCCTTGGGAGGAAAGTACCGTGGACGAGATCGCGCGGCCAGCGACAATGGCGGGTGAATCCTCGCTAGCTCAAATTCTGCAGCGTGTCAAGCTGGACAGGACGCCGACTGCCGGGGCTGTGGATGCCCTGGATTACATTGATGAAAAATTAGGGAGGGACAGCAATGATCGCATGGTTTTTGAGATGCCGAACGACTGAGCTCTCGGAAAATGATACCGATTTTGACCTTGAGGGCACTGGTCGATACTGCCGTTCCCGCAAAGAAGGTCTCGGGTTAAAAGAGGAGGGACTTTGCTTGCACGGGACGGTTGTTCTTTCATTCGTTTTCATGATACCCCGTTGTTTTCTGGCTTGGATGATCATCCCTGGGCTTTGCACAGAGTCGTACGCCACGCGTGATACGGAGAAGTTGAGACCACGAGGGAAGATGAGGGAGGCCAGAGTCAATGATCGGGCCGTTGTATGTACGATTGACCGAGTCAAGAGGCGGTCATTTGCGAGCGTTGCGATAGATCTTCCAAGGCAAGCTGATGGTTATTGCTAGCTGACAGTCTGTCGCCAACGAGCGCGAATCTTGGAGCCGAGAAACACCGTAGAGGAGAGGCATCGAGGGGATGTGCGTGTCCGGTAGTCCAGTCTGCTTTTCGTCGACAGTGCACGACACAATCATGCAGAGACGGATATGGAAGGCGGTACGAGGTACTGTGTGCTCGTACTCCTCAGATCCTACGCGTACTGGGTACTCCGGACGGCTGAATTCTCCGCTCAGGTACCCGTCAATCGAAAGTCATACCCGTTGCGGTCGAGTGGGTGGTGATTCATCCGGGAGTCAGCAGCTTGGGTTTGCGGCCTCCCACCATCCTGCACCTGCACGCCTCGAGTTAGGGCCTGATGGGTGCGACGACTTTCTCGTGACCTGTTGGTATTTTGCTGTGGGCTAAAGTTTGTCCGCGGGCTAGGCGAACTCATAGCTGGTGCATGAATACACCCGACCGCGACATGGGTTGTTGGACTGACCGTGAACATGGCAGATGGTGGATAGCAGGAGAGCGACATGGCCGTATTGGGCTTCATCATGCGACGATGCGTGGGTGTCCACTGGTGTCCAAGACCACGGGCTGTCATTGGCATGCGGTGATTGATGGACCACGATGACAACGGAGGCAGCTGCAGGCACTGCCACAATCTTAACAACCTCGCCCTCGCACGCTGCCCTGCAATTGGCTGCAGGCTCGTCGCCGCGTGCTGAATGAATTGCCTCTCACTTTGGCCTCTGTTTCTCTACACAAGGTCGAAATATTCTTGCCCGACATCATCGCTCAGTCGTTAGTCCCTTGTCACGCGTTCCTTTGCAGTCCCTCTTTTCTTGTTCATTTCCGTCGGCCTCAGACGACCGTATCTCGACATTGTGCCGCGCCGCCTTAAGAATGCACTTCGCCCTCCCTTCCCCTTAAACTTCTCCATCCGCGACCAAGAGTTTCTCGACCAAGGCATCGGGGAGTGACTTTGCAGGCTTCCGTACATGAGACTGCCGACCCTCCTATCTCGACTCTCCGCCGCACCCTCACCCTCACCCTCACCCTCAGCCTGGTCCTCGGGCTGTTTCAGCATGCGGCGCAGTCTCTTGATCTTCCTCCTGTTCGCCGTCGTCGTCCTCACCTTCCTCTTACACTCTGTCTCGACGCTCTTGGCCCTGCTCATAGAAGATGCGTCCCGGGACGCCATCCACAGGTCCGAGCTGCCTGCGCCGAACTCGACGTTGCTCGAAACACGTCCGCAACTGATCCCCAAGATCATCCATCAGACTTACATCAACGAGTCGATCCCTGCCCACTGGGTCCCCGCTCAACAGTCATGTATCGACCTCCACCCGGACTACGAGTACAAACTGTGGACGGATGAGAAGTCGCACGATTTCATCGCCAAGGAATACCCGTGGTTCTTGTCCACATTCGTCGGCTACAGACACAACATCCAACGGGCCGACGCCATCCGATACTTTGTGCTGGCCCACTACGGAGGCGTGTACCTCGACTTGGACGACGGGTGCAAACGACGGCTCGACCCTCTTCTCTCATACAATGCGTTTGTGCGGAGGACGGTCCCCACCGGGATATCCAACGACGTGATGGGGGCAATTCCCCAGCATCCGTTTTTCCTCCGAGTCATGGAGTCCCTGCCGGGCGCCGACCGGAGCTGGATCCTGCCCTACATCACCATCATGGCGTCGACGGGTCCGCTGTTCCTGAGCGTCATCTGGAAGAAATGGATGGGCGAGCACGCCCACTTGGACCCCGACACCTGGGTCGGGAGGGTGCGCGTCCTCATGCCGGACGAGTACAACCAACATGCGTGGTCGTTCTTCGAGACATACAAGGGATCGAGCTGGCACGGCAAGGACGCGAGGCTGATTTTTTGGATGGGCAAGAACTGGCTGCTCTTGACGGTCCTCGGCTTTGTGCTGGTTCTGACGGTGGGCTTCCTTGTCTGGTTCGTCTACTCGAGGCTCCTGATCTGGAGTGCGAGGAGAAGAGGAAGCCCGCGGATGGCTGCTCTTAGGTTCGCTGGCGGTGCCAAGATGCCCCTCTGGCGGATGTGGGCCGGCGGATTAGGAATCAACAAGCAGACTTACGAAATGGTCGCCCAGCATGATGCGTGATGGGCCATTGACGCACGACACTCTACTTGGATCTCTCGTCGAGCACATGAGCGAAGCAGTCGGAAACTCTCCGGAACAACGAACGAAATTCCCGCAAAACATACACACAAATATACACGGCGGTCGGAACCATCTCATCAGAAAATTCATCTGCGTTTTGAGCGAGGAGTTTCGGCGACAGCATGGGGACATGCATTGACTGATGTTGAGGTGGTTGCCGGTGACTTGACTTTGGCCGGATTATCACCACAGCAGGAGATTAGAATCCACGACCTTCTGATTCCGTCTATTCACGGGCTTTCATGGACCCGATACGTCTGGTGACGGTTTAGAATCATAGAAGTTATATATTTACCATATGACATTGTAATAAGACTAGTGTTGAATTATTTTTTGTGTATGGAGTACTTTTTTACTGTGTACTATCTGTGCCCTACCCGGAGCAAGGTCCCGAGGAGTGATAGGAATATATGTAGATGTATGTGTGTATGTGTATGTATGTATGTATGTATGTATGTATGTATGTATGTATGTATGTATGTATGTATGTATGTATGTATGTATGTATACAGAGCACAGAATCACGGGATATATGTTACTAAGTATATTCTGTGCATATGTATACTTGTACTTGTCCTTGTCCTTGCACGCAATGCCATGCCATGCCATGCCATGCCATGCCATTTCGAGGAGGAGAATTCTTACCTTCCAAGAGGGCAAGCCTGTAGAACTCCCGGTTTCGCTTTCGATCTTTGAGAACCTCCAGGACTATCTCACCCACGAAGGATTATGAATACAGTACAGAGTACCTCTCGATCCTGTGGAACTCCCAGTGCCCTCTAAACCACCACCCACGTAGAAGGGAAGGATGTACCTATTCGTGCTGCACTGCCTCTCGATCCATTGGGACTCACAGCACCCTCTAACCCATCACCCACGAAGAATGTACTATTCATACTGCACTGCCTTTCGATCCCGTAGAACTCCAAGACCCTTCTACCCTCTCGCCCACGGAGAATGTCCTGTCTTCACACTGACACAATGCGTCGAATGGTCCAAGAAACTTTCCCTCCCTCCCTCCCCTTTTCTTGCCTAGCCTCGTTGGAGTCATCGCCAACGTCTCTTGCCTGGGCTGGCGCTCTATTTGGCGTGGAAAGGGAAGGGGAAGAGTCAGAGTCAGAGTCTCTCCTTTGAGGACGTTGTACTTGTAGGATTGACTTTAAGGTCGGGAACGCCGGGTCTGAGAGTTGTCCTTCTTCTCCCTTAAGGGCCCAATCAGATAGGGGATACGTGGTGTGGTGTATGGCGGAGCAACAGATTTCCTTTCGTCCTCCGGTACGGAGTACAGCTACAGTAGGTAAAATTTCCCAGGATCTCCAGCCGGCCAGCTAGCCAGCTAAGCGAGTTCCGGGCTCTTGGGTGGCTCTTGCCCATACTATTATACAGTAATATGTGGAGCTTCCATAAAGTACTACAAATCATGGAGGGCCCAACTCATCAGCCTGGAAGAATCTACGTCCTATATAAGCCACGTCCCCGGTGAACAGTAAACAGTAGCCAGGGCCAGTAGCCAGTGCCAGTAGCCAGTGCCAGTAGCCAGTGCCAGTAGCCAGTGCCAGTAGCCAGTATAGGACCCGGTTCGTACTCGAAAATGCTGTGCCGGGTCGTCTACCACACTAAATAGACGGACTCGGTTACATACAGTACGTACGTTTCGTATGGATGCAGGGGGATCAAATCAGACCTTTTGTCAAAACACATGGAATCCTCGACCGGACGAGGCCAGTTCGGGCTTGTTGAGTGACATTATCGACCACGGAGTACGGCGTACGAGTACTTTTCCAGGTCGTCTCATCTCTCGCGTCTTTCCACGGACGGATGAATTTTCGTTGGGGAGATAATTACGAGCTGAATGAATCCTCGTCAAATGGCATCCACCACCACAATGGGAAGGGGTGTCCAACCGAACGGACAGCTGTCTTGTAGTGATAGTATACCTCGTGGCCTATACCACCAACACGGCTATGACCTTATAAGGCGCTATAACGACAGACCCTCAACACTCGGACGAACTCGACGAACTGGGAGAACTGCTGGATCAAGGACACTAAAAGGATGAGTATAGACGACCACGTGTCATGGTGTTTTTCCGAGGGGCCCTCAGAGCTTCTTGTCGCCAAGGTGTGGAAAGACTGCTCGCCGGCTTACCCAGGACTGCTTAACTTGGACTATTTTATTCAAATCAAGCAACTATAGTTCCCGGTAAGGGCGGATCGGCGCGATCCCGGCCCCTATATTGAATTCGTCAAAGTTTGTTGAATGGCGTGATCAATCCTGGACAAACCCCCTGTGCAGCTGTCTCTCAGATATAAACAGGTTCCGGATTGAAGATCTTGATGCGCTTTACTGTTCATGTTTCATATGCCGTGCGACCCAACTGTTAGTATATAACAGGCTTTCAATCTGCAATGGTAGAAAGCATACTATGTGGCCTTGGGCGAGAGGATTCTTGAGAGACGGCGTAGCCTCGCAGCACAAGAGTCGAAACACGCTCTATCGCGTCTTCGCCTTTACTGCAGGCCTGAAGGATCCCGGAAGGCTGGTCGGTGGCATCTTCGCCTTTACTGCAGGCCTGCAGGATCCCGGAAGGCTGGTCGGGGGCATCTTCACCTTTACTGCAGGCCTGAAGGATCCCAGAAGGTCGGTGTGCTTCACCTGCGGCGGTGCTGCATACTTTCAGGATAACCGGCAGAGCACATAGCAGAGGGGCAAGGTAATAAATGACAGATAAACCCGCATCGGAAGTTGTCGAAAGTAAAACATGTCCGGAAATGTCTGTTGGTCCATTCTCGATTTTCGTCAACGACATCCAAATTGCACAACCAAGTTGCCCGACGGCGAACAAGCTCATGCAGTTGATCAGTCTGCCATTCGAATCTCTTCGAAGTGGCTGGACGAGGAGTCGAATCAAGGCGTTAAGGCTGACGGACAAGGTCGCCACGGAGTAGAGACTCATCCGTTCAGAATGAAACAGGAGCATCGATCCCGCAAACGCAGCCAGATTCAATGTGCTCGAAAACAACTGAGTCGGAACGTGCATCCATTGATGATGAGACACTCCCCCACAGCAGCCTCCGAACTGACAGCCGACTCGCCCGATAGACTCGCCCAAGGGCAGCGATATCAGTAGAGTTGCAATCAGCACACGGGCGTCGACCCGGAAAGTTGCACCGCTGAGCAAGACTCCAAAAACCGCGCCGACAACGCCGGTCTGAAGCCAATAGCCGGCCTCTGAGAGGATTTGGAACCGTAAAAGACCGGATGATCGATATTCACTCAGGATTGCAGGTAGGCGGGCTCCAAACAGTGCACAGCAGATGGTGAATAGCACAGTCGCGGCAATGTCCATCGAGCTGAGGGCTTTCCAGGCATTTGGAAACGCATTGGCGTAAAGTGCCAGTGTGGAGGTCACGACTGCGAGCACCGCGGCACAGACAGCCACCCCGTACAGATACAGCTTGTATCTTTGACAGATGATGGCGTGGGCGGGCTTTCGCATTTCAAGCTCAATCATCCGCAATCTTTTCGCCTCGGAAAGAAACATACCAACGCTGAACTTGGCGTATATGGCGACTCTGGCAATGTTGAGCCAAAATTCCCAGCTTTGTCCCGGGATCGAGGGGATGAGCATCGCACTGTAAATGATGGGCGGAATCCGTAGAAACAACAGGAGAGCGGTGTTGCTTGCCTGAACTCTGTAGGCAAGCGAAGAATTTACCGCCTTGAGGCCCATGATCGCGAGCACACATCCCAGGTTCGAGAGCAGCTCGGTCGCCAAGGACGCATAGAGGGCAAAGTGTGGTCTCATCGGCATACGGGCGTGCAGCTGGTACGCCAGGTCCAACAACGAAAGCACATGGTGATAGACGTAGCCGCTGGCGTAGTCGAGACGGTTGAGCTCCGATGTCCAAAGCACCGTGCGGGAGGCCACGCACACTTGCGCCGCGGCCGATGAAAGTAGCGGTTTCCCTCTCACATCATTGTGGTCGGTAGCTTGCAGGAATGCCACCGTGCACGCCGGGGTCGAGATGAAGGTGATGGCAATTCCGAGGATGAAAGAAAAGTATCGAACGTCCTTTTGATCCTTTTGTAGCTGTGTATAGAACTGGGGGCTGATCCGACACGCAACGAGCTGAAGCAGGCGATGACATCCATAGTACAACAAAAACGCCCCTACCGTGGCAGGCAGGGACAAGAGATTGATGCCAAATGACGAAGAGTCCATGGTGTAAATGCAAGTCGACACTGAAAGCTGTCGAGCGATGACCACTGTCGCGGAGAGCAGCTATATAAAATACTCGTAGGCTCAACCATTGAAGGATCAGAGGTGGATGGATATCGTGAGTGTCAAGTATGGATCCAGGCATATCGTAGAGAAGTAGATTTAAATCTCACGTCAGCTTACACAGAGCACTGTATCGATCCCGATAGTCGTCTATTAAAACACACCTTGATTGACATAGTATATCTCATGCTTGCACACGAACCGGTGTATCGAACAGAGCTTAGCGGCTCCCTTCTCGTCCCCACATCAACACTCCTAGCCTGTATTTCTCCGGAGTTTGTCGTATATCGTACCCTTTCATTCGCAGGACCTGGAATATACCCCATCTTCTGCCTCCGGAGAGCAAAGTTGCCGAGCTTCCCTCGGGAATGTGGTTCCGAGGAGGCTGAAAGTTATGCGGCGAAGCCAGTAGGGAGCAATGGCAGTTCTTCGCTGCCTTCCCGACAGGAGTGTGTCCTTGTTTGAATGAGGATTCGCGCTGGAAGGGGCGAAAGGCCCGAGGAGGAGCTATCATGGGCCGCCTGAGGGGGAGATCGGTCTTCATATGTCGGCACATGGTTTGGACGGAAACCCGGCATCGGCGTAGATATCCACGATTTGAAGTCAGTCCAGACAAAACGGATTCGATTTGCGAGTTTCTTTGCCCAGCCAAATGGCATTTTTCCGTCAATCGTTTCAAAGAGACACTGTCTCACTGGCAGGATTGTGTGTGGTGGTGCTCACCGAAAGCATTGATGCTACCTCGATCGCGGTCGCCCTGCCTGTGAGTGAACATGTCCTAACGTGCACGTCCGAGATGTCCGTTGTACTGACGCGAATTTCTGGACAGACCATTGCAGAAGCAGTCTCAGCCTCCACAACTGCAGCGTACAGCTTGGGAACGAGCTTCCTGGTTGCGCTGACTCTGTGCCAACCAGTCTTCGCTTCTGGGTCGGACGTATTCGGTCGCAAGCCTGCGCTTTTATGTGCGCTTGTCGTCTTCCTTGCGGGTGCGGTGGTGGCAGCGGTCTCGAAGAATGTGGCCGTCCTTTTGTTGGGCCGGGTCCTTCAAGGAAGCGGGGGAGCTGGCGTCATGGTCCTTGCCGTCATCGTATTATCAGACATCTTCCCGTTGGGAGAGCGGGCGAAATATGTGGGCGTGATGAACGCAGTCTGGGCTGTAGGGAGCGTCTCCGGACCTGTTCTAGGTGGTGCGCTTGCACAGGTATCCTGGGTAAGATCGTGCTTGTCAACCTCATCTATGCCTCGATGCTGACCCGGCCCATTTTTTCAGAGATGGATCTTCTGGATCAACATCCCCCTTGTCGTTCTCAGCATCACGAGTATCGCGGCCTTCTTGCCTAGGAGAGCCGCGGACATTCCGCTGTGGACCAAGCTGGGACACATTGACTATGTCGGCATTGTCATGTTCCTTACCTTTGGAGTGTCATTCTTCCTACCGCTGGTCTTTGCCGGTATCATCCGTCCTTGGTCATCGTGGGAAATTTTGGTTCCTTTGCTGGTGGGCATTGCAGGCATGGTCTTGTTCCTAGGGTATGAGAAGAAGGTCGCAAAGGAACCCATGCTCCGTCTGGCCGTGTTTGCCAACCGTACGGCGAATGTTGGACAGTTCGGCATCTTCGTCCATGGCGTCTTGCTTTGGACCCTAGTATACTATTTGCCGCTGTACTATGAAGGCGTCAAGGGCTACAGCCCGCTCATAACCGGGCTGGCCGTCTTTCCGGAAACTTTCACCGTAGCCCCAGCCGCAGTGGTGACCGGTTTTTACATCAGTTCGACAGGTCAATACAGGTGGGCGGTCTGGGCCGGATGGTTTCTCACCACGTTGGGTTACGGACTGTTATGCTTGCTGAAACCGGGGACCACAGTCCCTAGCTGGATTTTTTTGAACCTCGTCGCAGGTCTTGGGGTGGGCATGTTAGTCCCGGCCTTGTCGATTACGGTACAGGCGGCCACTCAGGGTACAAACGTTTCCCACACGATTTCGATGTATGCTTTGGTCCGCGCCAGCGGGCAGGCGTGCGGTGTCGCGATCGGAACGGCCATTTTCCAGACTCAATGCAAAAGTGTACTGGCGGGTATGTCGGGCGTCAATCTTACCGCGGAAGCCCTGATCCGAGAGATTCAACAATTCTCAGGAACTCCGGACCAGCTGGATGAGCTTCAAGAGGCGGTTGTGCGGTCAGTTCGCATTGTCTGGGCATCAGGCTGTGCAATGGCCGCCCTCGCCGGCGTCGCTTCGATCTGGATCAAACCCTACGCGTTGAGAAGCAAGCCTCAAGCTGGGGAGGCCGGTGTTGAGACCGCCGCGAGTTAAAGAGCGTCTATGATCATGGTGAGGTGCAAAAGGCCACTTACCGCTCTTTCTCAAGGCACTGTGTTGCGAGAGGCAATCGTAAATTTTTGCAAAGAAGCTTCGGCTGCTAATGACCTCGACAGTTTCCAGGCCGAACTTGGCATACGAGTACCAGAGTTCCAAGAATGAGGTCATATAACCCCTTGGGGTGGTGGAGGCCTCGGCGGAAAAGACTGAGTACCCAAGCATTTTATGCTGGATTCTTCCTGGCTCATGGGAAGATATCTCACTGCCTTTCCTCAACCGCTCGTGCTGTTGGTGATCGGCCTTTCCAAGTCTCTCATGTTGTATGGCAGCCACGCAGTCGGGTTGTCAATAATCTGAGGGTTCGAGGCATCCGTTCACCTCAACCCCGGAAGGCCTCCGGAGCTCCTCATCGACAAGAATCCAGGCAGTACGAGGTACGAGTAGTAGCAGCAGCTACTACAGTGGCGGCGGTGGCAAAGGAGTCTGAAGTAGCCTAGAATAGCACGCCTTGTGCCACTACCATCCGTCACAATTAAATTCCGTACTGTGATGCTACCGACCGACCCCTCCTCGTACTCACCCTGTTCTGGAAGTCGCTAGTGTCGGCGGATGATCGTCGTCATGGCTGGATACTCGTGAAAGGCGTGGGCACGGGTCAGCGCGAATGTGGTACCCTGGTACGTGGGGGCAGGGATCAAGCATCAAGAGGCTCTCTACAGTAGAGGCTCAGGGCCACATCACGCACTCCACGCACATCACACCCCCCCTATCCCCCCAGGCCGGCGCACAAGCACTTTCGCAACATCTGGGATCGAAGCCTCGACAGCCCTCCTACCCAGTACGAGCGTACAGTACTCGTATCCACTTTAAAAGACGCAGGGGGATGCGCCCCGAAAAAAAACCTGTCCGTTCAGAGCCAAGCAGCGAATCGCGGTGCTACGTCTCTCCTCCGCCCCCCCTGACGCTCTGTTGTGTTCTTGCTCACCACTGGCAGCGGCGTCACAGATTGGCCCCGGCCACTGAGCGGTCAGATGCGCGAGGCCGCAGACGGGCGGACAAAGGCGAATCAGATCATAGGCAGGGAGTGTGAGAGAGGCGGTTCGAGAACAAGAAGATGTATTCAAAACCGTCTCTGAGGCGCTTCATGTCGCTCCAGCGTAACAGCCCCAAGATGCAACCAACAAAGGAGACGTGCTCTCACTTTCGCTCGCAGCGAAGCTTGGGCATTTTGCTCCGAACCCGCCATGCTCTTGCGTGTCGCGAAGAAAGGGGGATGGGAAATCGAGATAGCCCGAAAGGTGCCCAGCCAACAGGACCGCAGCTATTGTACATTGCGTGCCTTCTTTTCGAAACCCAGCTGGTCAGAGCAAGCAAAAAAGTAAACAGCGGTGCCTCCCAATAATGTAATGTCCCTGCCATTTGCCTCCATGTAATGCTTTTCGGTCTAGGCCGGGCTGTCCGGTCTTCCCAATCATACTCGTACATCATGCAGATTTTCAAGCAACTCCAAAACGTGGTGGTCATACAAAACGTGCAGCTCATGTATCATGCAGAGAACAGAGGTATCAATCATCAAGGAGAAAGCCGTTGGTCACAAAGGAAAGGTTTCCGAGTCGTTAGTCGTCGTTCAGTCGTGATAGAAGAGACCGATAGAGGCGTCCAAGCGTGCCTCAACTCGCGCTCGCACCCGTGTCCGGGCTCGGATCGCTGGGAGGAAGGAGGTCGAGGCAGGCGATGAAGATGTGCGTGATCTGCTCCTCCCAGGCGCCCATTTCAAAGTCGACCAGCCCGTACTGTTCGAGCTGGTCGCACATGGCCACAAACTCGTCCATCAAGCTGGTGATGGAGTTGGCCGAGAGGATGTCGGGAGGCTCTCGTCTGGTCCTCAGAGCTTCCTCGGTGATTTCCTTTTGCTTCTGCCCAAGCGCCTCCCACGCCAGATTGAACTCTTGCCACAAGTCGATGCGCTCGGCGTGTCTCGTCTCGTCATCGTGGTGCAGCCCTGCGAATGGTTAGCCTAGTCCCCCCTTCTCAAGCGAGCATCCGACTTACCCAATGCGGCAACAGATTTGACCAGCCACCGAGACGCCGCAAGCAGCTTCTCGCGGGCCGCTGTCACTCTGCCTGCGATGATGGCGTCGAACACGGTCCTGAGTTGCCGGTGGTAGTTGCGCAAGTCCTCATCGAGTGCCTCCTGCACCCGATTCGGCTCGGCGCCCTCTTCCACCTCTCGAGGCTCCGCCATGGGAAAGTCGACCTGTGGCGCACCATAGGACTGAGGCATCGATGGCCGACTCACAGCCACGTGGCTATAGCTGCTTTGTTCGGGTTGCGAAGTCATGTACTGAGCCGGGGCCGAGCCTAGAGTGGCTCCGGGGTGCTCGCCGGGGGTCATGTACTGCGGGACTGCGAATCGGCTCGACATCACGTCAATTGCCGTTTGCGACGGCTGATACGCAATGTCCTCGTACAGGGCTTGCGGGCCAACTGGCGGAAGCATCGAAGAGGGCGCGTACTGCGCATACTGCTGCTGTTGTTGGGGCGAGGCCTGCACTTGCTGCTGTCTGGACGCCTCCGACATGAACGCTGGCGAATATTGCATTTCCACTCCTTGCATCGGGCTACTGCTTTGCATCTGCGAGCCCCCATAGGGCTGTTCTTGGTAGCCGTAACCCGAGTAGCCAGACAAATAAGGCCGTGCCATCGAAGATCTGCCGATATCTGTTCTAGCCGGCGTCGTGGGGTGCGCGAATCTGTCAGTCGAAGGTGGTCCCATCGCCTGTCCGGGGAGAGGACGCGCGGGCGCTGGTGGTGGGTATGGAGGTCCATACTGGGAGCGCCGACGGTCATTGCCGTCCATTTAAGGGAGGCGGATCTCAGCCGTCGACGCCAGAATGGCAGCCTTCGTCTCGCGTGTTTCGTACCCCGTATGCCGTAATATGGTATGAAGCGTCGGAAAGAGCTGCCACCTCCTGAACCACTGATGCCTCCCTTGTACCACCGCCTGATCTCGGGCCCTTCATGCAACCAATCCAAGGCAAAAAAGGGAAAGAGCGACAATATCGCAGCCGCGGCTAGGGGCGTTCGCCGAGGCCGTCAGAGCGGGTAGTCCTCCCTGGCGTCGTGGGCGGTGGGAAACTCGACGAGACACTGGCGCCGCCGTTATCGCTGCGAACAGGTCCCAGAAAAAAGCAATCAAAGCGCACAAAGACAATGTCGGATGGCCGCCTGCTCCAAATACTATGCTGAATCGACTGACAGGATGAGTTTTCGCGGTGGATTTTCGGATCGCAATCTGGTTCCCTCGAGCCCAGTGTGTGGAAGCGCACGCCGCCGAAATGGGGGACCGAAAAATACACCTGGACGCCTTCCCTTATGGAAATCGTGTGAATCGTCTCCAGAGCTCCTCGCGCGGAACAGCAGGCCAAGACGAAATCCCGTGCAGAAATTTCGTTCGAGTGTGCGTGCCCGGGCGGTCGAAGGAAAGCAAGGGTAGTGGGGTTAGTGGAATCCGAGGGTGGAGGGACGGCACAGTTCGATGGTCAAGACACGAACGCGAGGACATTGAGGACAGGATCGTAGGAAAGAGATAAATGAGCGTTCGGTAGCCTAGGCAAGGAGGGAGAAGACCCAGGTACCTTGGAGTTGTGGAAGGACACAATGTATACAAGAGGCCTGAGGTGCAGATGCCGTGGCAGGCGGAAGTGCGCACGACGCAAATCAATCAACACTTGACTCAAGGAGACTTGATGGGGAATGGCGCAGAGACCGCATGGCAATAACGGATGGGTCGCTCGTCCTGGTACGTCGAGGCCCAGCTGCTCCCAGACGCGGCCGATGATATCGTTTTCAGCAGGTCCCAGCGCAGCAAGCAAGGCGTTTCTTGCCGGCTCGAAAAGTCTTTTGAAGTGGACAGCGCCACAGGAGGGACAAGATGCCCACCGTGCTGGGGGGGCGGCGTATGCAGAGGGTCCATGGGAAAGTGGTCAGCTTGTTCTCGGGCGTCAAGGCCAGCTGTGCGCAATTCCCGGTCGGCCGGCCGGTTGTCGTAGGTGCGCCGGATGGGTAGGGTGCGAAGGGTGCGCACTGGGTAGGGGAGCGTCGAACCAAGCTGTCACTGCGCCGTACGGATACGCTGTCCAAGGTTCATGGATGCTGAAGGAAGACGACCCCAGCGGTGCCAGGGCCGGCGCAGGCGCGAGGACGAGGTGAATGGGAATGGCACTTGGAACGCGACGAGCATCCCCGCTAGTGGAGCCGCGCCTGCCTGCAGCATCTTCTTGGTGCTTCCAGGACCTCGCCAGGGTTTCGCTAAGGGCCTCTCCAGGCGCAAGGGAGCTGAACTAGCCACTGGTCTGACAAGGCTTGCATCTTTAGCCTGCCACTGGCCTCCACCTGCCGCAGCGCCAGGCGAGATTTATAGTGTGGCGCCCGAGGAACGTCAGGCAGGGGGAATGATCAACATCTGCATTTCTGGTCGTCTCCGGCTGCGTGCCTGGCACATCACAGCTGAACCGCCATCATGTCTCGCCACGGATTGGCTGCCTTGTCGCGACTATTGATCGTCGCGCAGATGGAGCAGCTGGGCGATGCGCAATGTGCGATGCGCGATGCTGAACCTCAGCAGTACCGGCTCACGGCGACGGGCACACCTGGCATCAGCGCCAATTGCTTAAGTAACAGATATGCCATAAGTCCCAGATGGGGATGTCCGTGTGACTGTGCGGTGCGAATGGGTGCCACTCCATCTGGCGGGTGCCGCGATCGCCCAGGTTGCACCGAACCGCCGTCGGGCCTCAATCCTGTCTCCGTAGCATCACGCTGGAATCAGATATTGCCTCATTCCAACTGGTGCCCAATGTCCGCCTGTCTGCGCACGAGACGTGTGGCCCGTAGACGTGGTTATTCTGGTTGGGTCATCTCCCAACTTCCTACGGCACCTGGAGCTTCGCCTGGTGCCCGAAGTCCTCGGGACGGGCTCCATGTAATCTCGCAGGAGGAGACGCTGGCTTGGCCCCGGAGCATCGACTGTTCCAGGCATGGGACAGCAGATGCCAGGATTATGTCAACGATACGCAACACGCACGGCGGAGAACCGACGGAACTAGCACCAGTACATCTCGCACGTCTACAGGTTCACGCAGCCAACATCGGGACGGAATAGAGTGCATCGCACTCGATCGGAAGGTGGTGCCTGTCACAACTCAGGCGGAGCCTCCGTAGCCAGTCGGATTCCGGCAAAGGTTGGCATCGACCCAAAGATCTGGCAGAGGTGTCAAAGGGCGATGTGATGTGCCTGTGTCGGACGTGGCTGCTGTCGAGATCTCCACGCCTGACCTGTCATCTGCTACTCGTTCGAGTAGTCCAGGGCTGAAATCTGCAAGGTTTGCTCCGACGAGGATGCATTTCGTCCATTTGGCCCGTCTCGTGTCATAGCCTTTGAGTTGTGTGGTTTTTGCTTCCGGTTTTCACTAATCTCGCGTTCATGCAAACAATGCGAATATGCACCACTTGTCGCTCGCCTCCCGCTAGGCCTCGGGCTTGGGCTGCATATGCAGTAATTAGCTACGTCTTGCACCAACCAGTCAGACCAGGCAGAGGCTTCACTGCGCACCCGCCAATGGGATCGCTGACACAATCTCCAAGGCATCATTGTGCAACCGCGGGCCGGAGTGGAAACAAGGATTTCATGCCGCATGCATGCCTGCTGCTGCGTAGGTTTCACATCTGGGTCCGTGGTTTATTTAGCACTCTGAACTCCCGTCATTCCGCCGCAGACAGCAGACGAGCGACGTTGGATTGTGAGAGCTGCACACAGTCAGATTGACCAGTTGCGGCGACGGATTCGAAATTGGCTCGAACACAACAACCCTGTTAGGCACAAGGCTCGGTCAAATCGTGAGGCGGGGTCGTCTATGTGCTTGCGTGCCGTCCTAGCGCTGGTGGTGTGATCTTGATCTGCTTGGACTCGAGGCTTCGGTTAGGCTGTGGCTAAAACGCGCGTTTCAGGCCCTCGTTTCAGGTTCCTGTGGCTCGGTCCTTGAGAACTTGTCAATAACAATTGTACTGGGTATCACGACACGAATCGCGCAAATACCTTGGTGGGAAGGAGAGCGCTGGCTGTCTTCTACCCGCTTCAAGAGATCCGCTGGCTGTGCTGGGAGAAGCCCGCTTCGTGACTGCATGGGCCTTCGTCCGTACAATCCCAGTTCTGTATTTGGGTGGACTTGGAAAGCCTACCGGGCAGTCGGCGCTCACCACAGCGTGCTTACTGTGTACACCTCAGTGCGGTGCTCAAGCTCGAAACTATGTTCCAAAGTGTGCAGTAAGATTTTAAGCACGGGTTTCGTGCCTCGTTTGAGGAAGATACATCCGGAAGATAGTTGCAGTGTTGAGCCGCGACCATGATCCACCGACCGGGATGCAACAAATTAGTCCCTGGGAATTTGCGCGCACAATGGTGGAGCCGGACGTTAATGGATGACGCGAGCCGTTGGCTTGAAAACTTGATCAGGCACGAGCTTTCCACGAGGAGGTGAGCATGTCGGACGCTCTCACTTGCAAGTCCTCAGGTCTGTATACGGCGCAAGCATACGGAGTACTATGTGTATCATGGCATCTCGCTTAAAGATCTCCTCGACTGTCCTGGACCCATGGTTGCCGTGATGTGTCGACATTTCTTCTGGTCATTGTGCGATGAGCAGTCAAGATCAAAAGTGTGCTGCCCTCGTTAATAGATTGTGCGACGAAGAATGTCGGGTGGAAGTCTGGGTTGACCAGCGTCACGGTGCATTGTATCAGATGGCGCACGTGAGCTGGCCCAACGTCAAAGGGCCCGTCAAGCTCTCAATCCTGCTTGTGCAACACTGCCACAAGGCTGACATGCTCTTTTGCTCCTCCTCCGCCGCCAAACTGATGGCTCAGCACGAGATGTTTTCCAGCGGATGCCAAATCGTTGTTTCGCACGATCATGTGAGAGACATCGATCTTACATGAGCGTTCCGACGAGACGTCCGAGCCACCGCAATTGTCGGACACTACTGAGAATCCTGTTTAGTTGTACAAACGCATGGGCTCGATCTGGAACAAAGTCTTGTGCATCAGAGACATTGATACATGGTGATGTACAGACGAGTACCACCGCTCTACCTCGAGTCCCAGGACCCTTTACCGTTTGACCCACGTAGGTCTCTTTCGGGCCTTGAGGCGACCAGGCTTCTTCCGTTCGACACGTCTGGGATCCGAAGTAACACAGCCGGCTGTATTGTGAATTAGCGACCAACCATGAACGCGGCCGGGACCACATCTGCTTACCTCGTCGTAGAGCTGGTTTGAGAGCCGGTTCGTGTACCAGCAGTGCCTTGGCAAGGGCCAATGTGATGGATTCGGCCTGCCCCGTAACTCCACCACCAGATACCAACGCAAAGACGTTGTATTTGTCCATCCGTTGCGTGATCTTCAACGCCCACAGTGCGCTCTCCCTATCGTGGACCCGCGGGAATGCCTGCACGATACTATTCCCATTGACTAGCACTTCTCCTGTGCCCTCCACTAGATAGACCTTTGCTGACGACTCCTTCCTCCGCCCTATGCCCACAGACCTTCCATATTCATCGATTGTTCCAGGCTTGGCTTTCTGTATCGCTTCTGATCCCGGACGTCTGAACCGAGAAAGTATCTGCTTGACTTCTTTGGGGCAGATTCTGGGGTGTATCTTGTTCAGTCGCGTCAAGAGCAGCAGTACCTTGGAGTACTTCGAGGCAGCCACTTGTTCCCCAGTCGAGCTTCGATATTGATTCAACCTCAACCACACTGGCCGCGCTATCTGGTCTGTAGGGGCCGTAGGCAGCGACGCATGCTTCTTGACGAGAGACTGTAGCGTCAAAAGGTGGTCGTTGAAAACCGGAGATGCTGTGAAATAGGAGGGCGAGCGAGGGAGGATCCGAGCGGGTGGTGACTGAGACTCATCGAGGTCTATCTCCGGTGCGGCGCGGATCTGGGTCTCAGCAGACAGCTTTTTGGTCGTGAACAGCGTTTGACGCTGTATCGTCGGTTGGAGCCATTGAGGGTGAGCTCGCGCTAGAATCTTCTGAGTCCGACATTGGCGACATATCTGCGAAAATGTGGAAGGCAACGCCTGCACTGAGGGGCGTGCCATGGACGTAAGCAAGCGCCTGTTACCTCTTGCCCAGAAGCATTGAGAGACCGCTACACTCTGGGGGAGTGATTTCGACGGGAAAGTCGAAGGTGCAAGCTGATCACAGGTGCTGAACCTGCCAAGCTTTTACGGTGGACCAAACGCCCGTGCTAGTGACATGGCATCAAACTGAGTCAAAATTTATTTCATTGACACGACTCCGACTTTGCTTGGAGACCAATCCACCGCCAGTCCCCCAGAATTCGCATCGTACCACCCAAGATGTCGTTCGGAAAGCTTTACGGTTTCAAGGTACGCTCTGTGCAAAAGCAGCTCCGCTCTTTGTGAATAGCCGATATTGATATTCGCCCTTTAGGAAAATGCCCGCAGCACTGCCCTCCTAGCAGTTGCAAAGGAGAACAACCTCGACCTTGAGCTCGTTGAGACGAGACCTCCCATTACCGACACAGAGTACCTCAAGCTCAATCCTCTGGGACGAGTTCCTACATTCGTCGGCGCCAACGGGTTCATCTTGACCGAGTCACTCGCGATCGCTATCTACTGTGAGTGTTGCCCCGCCTTCGCCCTTACGAACAGTCTAGGATGAGCCATATTATCACATTCAGTTATCCCTGTCTGAATTTTCCTTGTTGACTATATTGAACTCTGAGCACCACCTTCGCATTGTCCTTCTTCGCTTCGTTCGAATTATCAGTTCCACAAAGCCATCGCTAACGGTCGGTGACAGTCGCATCGCAGAACGACAAGACCACCCTTCTTGGAAAGACAAAGCAGGACTACGCCTCAATTGTGCGATGGATGTCCTTTTCCAACTCCGAAGTCCTCCCCAACCTCTCTGGCTGGTTCAGCCCGCTCATCGGCAAGATCCCCTACAACAAGAAGTCGGTTGATGATTTCAAGAAGGCTGCCCTTGATGCTATTCACGTGCTTGAGCAGCACTTCCTCGTCCACACCTTCCTTGTTGGGGAGCGCATCACCCTCGCTGACCTCTATGTCACCTCTCAAATGTCGCGCGGCTTCCAATACGTCCTTGACAAGGAATGGCGCGCCGAGAACCCCAACACCACCCGTTGGTTCGAGACTGTGGTCAACCAGCCAATCTGGAAGGCCATCATTGAGAACCCCATCTTTGTTGAAGAGGCCGTCAAGTACACCCCTCCCAAGAAAGAGGCAAAGCCTGCGAAGGCCCCTGCCGCTGCTGCCGCGCCGAAGGCCGAGAAGGAGCCAGAGGAGGAGGAAGACGCCAAACCCGAGGTCAAGGCCAAGCATCCTCTTGAGTCCCTGCCCAAGCCTACCCTTATCCTCGATGACTGGAAGCGAAAGTATTCCAACGAAGATACCCGTTCTGTGGCCCTCCCTTGGTTCTGGGAACACTACAAGCCAGAGGACTATTCACTGTGGAAACTGGATTACAAGTACAACGACGAGTTGACCCTCACATTCATGTCATCCAACCTGATTGGTAAGTCCCGACCTAGTTTTGTATTCACTCTGCTCCCAGCCGACACTGACTTCTCCCATCAGGTGGATTTTTCAACCGTCTCGAGGCCTCCCGCAAATACCTTTTCGGTGCAGCCTCCGTGTACGGCCAGTCCAACGACTCGATCATCCAGGGTGCCTTTATGGTCCGCGGTGACGAGGCTCTGCCAGCCTTCGACGTCGCTCCCGACTGGGAGAGCTACGAGTTCACCAAGCTCGACCCCAGCAAGCCCGAGGACAGGGAGTTCGTCGAGGACCAGTGGTCTTGGGATAAGCCCATCACGGTCAACGGCAAGACCTACGAGTGGGCTGACGGCAAGGTCTTCAAGTAGAGTGGTGCATGCACTGACTACCCTTGAATGTGACCATGCCTAGGCACCGTACCAGTTGGTGACTCATGACTTGGACGGCGATTGACGAGAATGACGTGAGAAAAATGCCATGATGAGCGAAATGGACATGATTGATCGAATCCAAGAGTCGACACATTCTCACCGCAGCATGGAAAGCAGCATAGACATCTGTCCGAACCTGCAGGCACCTCTATGCCGCACATGTCATAGAGCAAGCAAGAAACAATGATGATTCAGACAACCATTTCCGCTTTCAATCTTTCGAACGTCCCGGTCTCTGGGTGTTCTGCTGTAGTCGGGCTTCGAAGCACCCACCCGCGTCCTCGCCATATCAGCAAACCACACCATTTACATTGCCCTGTTATGACACGGGAAATCGTGCAGTGCTGCTGATCGATTTCGTAGCGAATAATGAGCGCCGCTTTGGTGTCTTAGAAAGGTTGGGGGACATCAATGAATGTCCCGCTGCTCAAGAAGGCTGGCGGGCTTCAGAGCTGATGAGCCAACCTGGCTCGTTAACACCAAATTTGAAGATGAATATCGCTTGCTACTGTATCTCGGCTACGGCAAACCCCTCCACCACCACCACCTCCCCTTTCTTCATAGAGTCGCGCATGCATCTAGATAACAAATGTTGAAAAGGCCGTCAAATCAAACGTGGGTTATGCTCTGCGCATATGATGGACAGGGGTGGAGCCCTAAGTGTGACGACTTGCGCATTGTGAGCATGTACATGAAAAATGGGATTCGTAGCATAAATCAAGGCCAATAGACGCACTCGACATGATTGGAAGCGGTGTGTGTGGAGAGATGTAGTGGAAATGCGGTTGAAAGGTACAAAAGGGGGTAGGAGGGAGAGGCGCAGGGGGATAATGGTAGAAGAAAAGTGGTACGTAGATGTGGCAAGGATGGAGATGGTGGGGGGGGGGGGAGTCGAGAAAGGGTGATAAGAGGAGAGATTTTGGGTGGTAGAAGATGGTAGAAGAGAGACGTGGCCCGGGTGAGAGGCCCAAGAAGCATAATAGTTGGAGGGAAATACATAACAGTAGGAAGGGACGCAAAAGAGCGTGAGCGAGAGTTGAGATAGGAAAGATGTATCCCTGGTTTCGGGACGCTTTTCTGCTACTTGCAGTTGTGAAGAGGACCCGCGGATCAGTCAGTACGCGCTGGCATTGACTGATCAGACCTCGCAGAGCGTATTCCATGTGTCCACAATGGACAGGCTGAACAATTGGTCCTGCACAAGGATCTGTGGCGATCTGGCAATGGGAAAAGTACGCGTGCGCAAGTGCGAGAATCCAATTGTAGTCTGTGTAGTCTGAGGAGGCTCCAGTTGGAAACATCTGATCCCTGCGTCGTGCTCGCTATGTCTGAGGTCCTTCGTAATGCACAGCGCCTGTGGCGGCGGTTTGTCGTCTCAGGCTCTTGGGGTGGAATCCAGGGTGATTGATATCGTGGTGACCCAGCTGCCCAGAGTCGCTGCGACAGGTTGGTTCCCGGCTGCTCTGGCAGATAGATTCGCTGCTGGTTGAATATAAGTGCCGCCAAAGACGCTCAATGAAAGGACAAGATCGGTCAAGCTCGCCGGTGGCCGACTGCTGTGCTTGCCGCAGAGATTGAAGCCGTGCTGGAGACAGATCGCAATGTGGTGCTTACCGCAAATGGAGAACAAGGGCTTCAAATAGTGTCGAGTATCGTGTACCCGTAACGAGAAATCCTCCTTCAACAATAAAGAACGATTCAATACGTTCGGTATGCTGAAGTCGGTCTGAGGTGTTGCGGTTGGGATTTATGTTCGAAGGCGTAACTCCCGATGCGTACTGTGTAGACTGCTAATACATGACAGCCTCACCAGCCCAGCCTTGTCCCATCATGTGACCATTGCACAAGTGAAGAGTAGTTGCCTGATATATTTTGTTGCCGCAAAAGTTCCCAACAATTCAGGCCTCAGAGTACAGATCAAGTTTGCCAGCTATCCTACGAATCGTTTGGAGATGTCTGCAATGCTGTACTCTGAGCTGGATTCCCTCTTCGCCAAAGAGTTGTATCACTATTCTGATTAGCCCTATCCTTACTAAGCAGGCCATGAATAGTTGTATCCAACTCTGCTGGGGGAGAAGGGTCGATATTGAGTACCTTCGGGATCAATTTCGGGTTGCAAGACCGAAGTTCGACACCAGACAATGCGGGAAAAACCAACCTCAAAAAGGCGAGTTTTACCTCGCAGTGAACCAGCTCTAAACCCATGAGCTGCTTCAAATGCAAGTTTTTGCACTTTTTGTGTCTTTGAGGGTAGGTCGAATTCTTTTGTTGTGGGAAGGGAGCTTGGCGGCCAGGTAAACACGAGGTCCGACAGCTTCATCAAGCTATGCAACAATAAGGAAGCAGAAGCCGCGGCATCGCCCCATCACCCTCGCCTCGTCCACGATTATTTGGAGGGACAGTTGATTCGAATTGTGGTCGGAAGAACTGATGTCTTGAAACATAGTAGTTCAGTCCTGTAGTCCTAGGCTCGTGATCAGCTCTCACAGAGCATATATGCAGTGACACGGGTCTGCGCTTGAAAGTCCCTTTTTCAGCGGTATGCAGTATGCGATAGTCGAAGGTTCCGTGGTAGATCGAGTCAACTATCAAGTATGTGATCTTGATCTCAATGATTGGAGCCAGGGTGGTTACAGATGTTTACCAGTAATTGGGTGAGCTGACCAATTCCAGAGCCAATTAATTGCATTGTGATCTCAGTTTTGCTCATCGAACTTCGCCTGGTCGAGCCGCTGCCGCTGCGACGTCGCCATCAATATTCCGAACACCAGTCTCTGCCCTTCGGCCCTCCCAAAGGCGTACCCAAAAGTCAGGAGGATCCATCGGTCGCGAACCCTCATGCAGGCCTGGCCAGACATCGGCCAAGAAGTAGTAGACATGGCCAACAATAACACCTAGGATTTCGTCCTTTGGAACAGTGCCGTGCATGAACATGTGGAAAGCCATCAAAACCCATGGAAGGTATGGGGCGGTGAAAACAAGAACCCCAAGGAAGCTGAGTCTAGTGTCCGGATTCCTCCTCGACCAGATGTAAACCAAAGTACTTGAGAGCGCTGACCCAAGGAACGGGATGGACGTCGTCAGGGAACTCAAAACCAGCAGCGACGTGCATGCATAGAGCAACAGCCAGGAGAAGACGGCGGGTGAAGGACCAGAGCCTTGTTCCAGAAGCCGGGAATACCTCTGAAGGAAAAAGACATGAAAGGCTAGGTCCAGTGATGGTGGTCCGAAGTATATAAATGTGGTTATTAATCGCCAATACTTGATAAAGTCAGAAAGGTTCCTGTATCGACCTGAGGTCAACATACCTGTGACTTGTAGTAAACTGCTCGCCACGAATAGAAGAGCTGTAATGGAGTGATAACCTTGCACTGCAGCAACACCGATGTTATGACGGTCGCGGTCGTCCAGTATCGGGTACAAGGCGGCATCTCGAAGAACCACTGTTCAAGGGGAAATTGACCGAGCTGGCCCAGTCCCTCGTCACCCCCTCCACCAAGTATTGCAGCCATGATCAAGGGAGGAGGTCCACGAGTGGAAGGAGCGTGCGCGAAAAGTCCAAGAGGAACTCAGGTGTCTGAACGATGGTGTAGACTTGGAGATGACACGGACTGTGTCAGGACTGGGGAGCGCAGGTCAAAGTAATCATCGCAGAGTTCGTCTGAAGGCTGTACCGGAGTCCAGATAGGGGAGGACAAGTCCATATAGGGATCGAAGGATTGTCGTTAGGTGGCCTCTTCAACCACAGGGAATGAGGCCTTGGTGCAGCGGCGTGAAGATGGAAGCGGAAGACGTGGAATGATGTCGAAGGGCGAGTCGACAGTTCGGAAGCCGTCCCGAACAATAGGCGGATGAATACGGAAGGTAAAACGATGCCTGCGATGGGGGGGCACGTGGGATTTTAGGCCTGCCCAGGGCCACCTACTGGGTACAGTAAGGGTCGTGCTGCTGTACCCAGTAAAGCGCGCGTGCGCTCAGATATTAACGACGCGACCAACGCGACTTTCATCCTGCAAGTCTTCCACCACTCTCACTCACAGACGTTGGGAGCGCATCAATATACAAGGTGCGCCGAGGTGTCTGTTCGACTTTCTCTCTTACCACTCTCGTCAATCTAGTGGGTGTTTTGGAGCACGGCACTGGTGGCATTTGCACTTCCCAGCCATCCATTTCTCCACTTCTGCAAGGCGGCGCATGCCCCCAGGTCCGAATCGACCGAACTTCCAGCGCTCGTTAGAAATCCCGATCCTATTCTGCGTGACATGCCTCTGGTAATTTAGGCGTGAATCTGTCAATACATGGCCCAGACGAAGAACATCCGGCGCCGCTCTGGGCCGACCACTCCCAGAAGAGGGCAGGCCCAAAGGACCAACCCTTCTCCCAGAGTCACAGCAGGCAAGCGCCCTCGAACACAGCGTGAGTGGCAGCCGTGCGGACAAGATCCCAGCCGTATACTGACGAGATCTGATAGCCGGCGATCCTGTACCGATGCGAAAGCCGCGACGTTACAAGCCAGGCACTCTCGCGCTCAGAGAAATTCGAAGATACCAGCAATCGACAGAACTTCTCATACTCAAATTACCGTTTGCGCGCCTCGTCAGAGAGATAGCCCAAAGCATCCTCCCCTACCACGCAGCGCAAGAACTTCGGTGGCAGAGTCAGGCCATCCAGGCATTGCAGGAAGCAAGTGAAGCATTTCTGGTGCATTTGTTTGAAGACACGAACCTGTGCGCAATCCACGCCAAGCGCGTAACAATCATGCAGAAGGACATTCAATTAGCGAGGAGGATTCGTGGCGCTTGGGGCGGGTTAGGATGACTATTCATTTTCCCAAGCACGGTTACGCGTTATGACTTTGGACGGAGGACCTGGCAGTGTTGGATGCATTATCGGATACCACAGTACAGATATGGAGTTTGGTACGGTTTACGGAGGCT